CCCAGAAGCTAATTAGCTGAGTCAAATGGAACCTCTAATCCTAGCCTTTTTAGGAACCTCCACACTTATTTCCACAGTGGCTGCACCAGTCTACATTCCCACCAATAGTGGAGAAGTGCTCCTTTTTCCCACAGCATCTCCAGCGTTTGTTGTTGGTTGATTTCTTGATCTTAGTCATTCTTTCTAGAGTGAGGTGGAATCTCAGTGTTGTTTTAATTTTCATTTCTCTAATGACCAGTGATGCTGAACACTTTTTCATATATTTATTTGCCATTTGTATTTCTTTATCTGAAAACTGTATATTCATCTCAGATGCCCACTTTTGGATTGGGTCTTTGAATTTTGGGGGCCTATTTTTTTTAATTCTATATATGCTCTGGATAGAAGTCCTTTATTTGAGGAACAGCTGGCTAAGATATTTTCTCAATTCATGGATTTCCTTTTCACTCTGTTGAAGACTTCTTTGTAATGCAAAACTTTTTAATAAGACAAGATCCCAGTTGTTGGTTCTGGGAGATATTTCCTGTGCAGTTTGATTTTTGCCACATGCATAAGTCTGCTGACCCTTATGTCTTCAAGATTTCTACCTACTTTGTCTTCCAGCAGATTTAGTTTTCCTGTTTTAATATTTAGATCTTTGATCCATTTTGACTTTAGTTTCATGCATGTTTATAAACATGGTTTTAGGTTTATTTTTCAGCATATAGAAAGCCAGTTTTTCAGCATCGCTTATTAAAGAGGCTTTCTTCCAGTGAATATTTTTGGCCCTTTTGTTAAAGATAAGCTAGCTGAGTGTGTTTCTAGTTGTGGCTGTATCTTCTGATCCATTCCATTGAACTTCTGGTCTGCAGTATTCCAGTACCATGCTGATTTTATCACAGTAGCTTTGTAATATAATTTCAAGTTCAGGATTGTGATGCTTCCTGCCTTGCCTTGGTTGTCCAGAATTGCCTTTGCTATTCTACGTCTCTTCTGGTTCCAGATGAATTTTAGGAACAGTTTCTCTAGATCAGTGAGGTATGCTAATGGTCTTTTGATTGGAATTGCATTAAATCTGTAAAAAAATTTTGGGAGAATTGCCATTTTCACAATGTTTGTTCTTCCTATCCATGAACAAAGAATTTTCTACAATCCTCTTCAATTTCTTTTTTCAGAGTACTGTAATTTTCAATGGATAGATCTTTTACTTCTTTATTAGATTGATTCCTAAGTATTTTATTTTTTTGGATGCTATTGTGAAGGGTGTGGTTTCCCTTACTTCTCTCTCAGTGAGTTTGTTGTTTGTGTACAAAAATGCTATTGAGTTTTGAGTGTTGACTTTACATCCAGCTACATTACTGATTTTGACTATTACATCTAGAAGTCTTTCAGTGGAGTTTGGGGGTAGGTCTTATATATAGAATGTCATGTGAACTGAAAATAATGAATATTTAACTTCTTTTCCTATCTTTATTCTTCTTATTTCTCTCTCCTGTCCAATTGCTCTGGCTAATATTTCCAGAACCATATTGAATAGGAGTGGTAATAGTGAACGTTCTTGTCTTGTTCCTGATTTTAAGTTAAAAGTTTTCAGTTTTTGTTCATTTTGTAAAATGTTGGCTGTTGGTTTATCACATGATAAATGACAGCTTTCATCAGATTGAGGTAAAAACCATCTATTCTGATTTTCTGTAAGGTATTTATCATGAAAGAATGTTGGATTTTGTGAAAAACTTTTCTGTGTCTATTGAGATGATTATGTCTTTAGCTCTGTTGATATGATATATTATGTTTATTGACTTGCATATGTTGAACCACCCCTGCATTCCTGGGATCCCACTTGATTGTGATGTATAATCTTGATGATTTGCTGCATTCTGTTTGCCAGTATTTTATTGAAGAATTTTGCATCTGTGTTCATTAGGGAGATTGGCCTATAGTTCTCCTTTTTGGTTGGGTCTTTCTCTGGTTTTGGTATTAGGATAATACTTGCTTCCAGGAATGAGTTAGGGAGACTTGCTTCCCAGTTTGAGGAGTGTTGGCATTAAGTCTTCCCTGAATTTCTTGTAAATTCAACAGTGAATCCATCAGGACCTGGGCTTTTCTTTATTGGTAAGGGTTCTAATTACATTTTCAATTTCATTAACTGAAATTGTGTTATTCAACAGTTTTACATCTTCTTGATCCAGCTTTGGTAATTCATATGTTTCTAGGAATCTTTCCATTATCTTATGTGTTATTGAATCTATGAGAGTAAAGGTTTTCAGAGTAGGTATTAATGATCTTCTGTATTTCCATGAGGTCTGTAGTGATTTCACCCTTTTCATTTCTTATTGAATGGATTTGAGTTTTTGTCTTTCCTCTTTTTGATATGGTTGGCTAGGGATTTGTCAATTTTATTCTTTCAAAGAACCAACTCTTTGATTCATTAATGCTTTGTATTCTTAGTTTCAATTACATTGATTTCTGCTCTGATTTTTATAACTTCCTCTTTTTTGGGCTCTGGGCTTGACTTGTTCTTCTTTTTCTAGAAGTTTGAGATGCAGCATTAGGTCGTTTATTTGTGTTCATTCCATTTTCCTGATGTGGGTACTTACTGCTGTAAATTTCCTTCGGAGGATTGCTTTCATTGTGTCCCACAGGTTCTGGTAAGTTGTATTTGCATTTTTGTTTGATTTTAGATATTGTTTAATTTCTCCTTAAATTTCTTCTGTTACCCACTGGTTGTTTAGGAGAGTGTTATTCAATTTCCATGTGTTTATGGGGTTCTTGTGGTTTCTTTTATCATTAATCTCTGATTTTATTGCTCTATGGACAGATAATATGCATGAATAATTTTAGTTCCTTTGCATTTACTTAAGTGTTGGGAGCCGCGGCCGAGCCCGGTCGCCTTACTTGGCGGACGTGAGGCCTGTAGGAAAGAGCAAAGCCTGAGCTAGATTACCCCTCCCATCGAGTGTGCTAAGATGGCGCTTATCTCCTGCTTGGTAAACAACCCGCCCTGTAAGATCTCCTGCTTCCTGCTTGGTAAACAACCCGCCCTGTAAGATCTCCTGCTTCCTGCTTGGTAAACAACCCGCCCTGTAAGATCTCCTGCTTCCTGCTTGGTAAACAACCCGCCCTGTAAGATCTCCTGCTTCACAACCCGCCCTGTAAGATAGTCTGCCTAGCAACAACTGATGTTAGCCAATCAGCCCGCATCGCGCGCTTTGAACTGGTTGGCCACTGTAACCCTATAAAAGTGAGTGCCTCTCCCGCCAAAAAAAGAAGAAGAAGCAAAAGAAGCAGAAGAAGCACGCAAGGAGCCGCGGAGAGCGGACCGGTAGAGGCTTCGGGACAGACTGTAGGGAGAAGCACGCAAGGAGGCCGCGGAGAGCGGACCGGTAGAGGCTTCGGGACAGACTGTAGGGAGAAGCACGCAAGGAGCCGCGGAGAGCGGACCGGTAGAGGCTTCGGGACAGACTGTAGGGAGAAGCACGCAAGGAGCCGCGGGGAGCGGACCAACAGAGGCTTCGGCCGGGAGGATTCCCGGGGCAGGCTGTACGGAGAAGGAAAATAAAAGAAAAGGTTGTCCACTGCCAGACTTTGTTGTGTGTCCTTCCTGCCGGCCGGGAGTGACACCGACACTTAAGCATATTCTGGGGGCTGGTATGTGATCTATTTTAGAGAATGACCCATGTGCAGCCAAGAAGAATGTGTATTCTGATGTTGGGTAGAACACTTGGTAGAAATCTGCTAGGCTCATTGTACCCAGGTACACAGTTTGATTTAGTTCTTTTATTTCTTTGCTGATTTTTATTTGGTTGATCTGTCTTTTTGTGACAATGGGGTGTTAAGGTCCCCCCTTGTAACTGTATTATTGCTTATTTGATTTTTCATGTCTATTAAGATTTGTCTTACACAGTTGGGTGCTCCCATATTTGCTGCATATATGTTTATGATTGTAATCTTTTCCTCTTGACGTTTTCCCCTAACAAATATATAGTTACCTTCTGTATCTCTTTTGGTCATTCTTAGTTTGAAGTTCATGTTGTCTGCAAACAGAATAGCTACCCTCACATTTTTTGTTGTTGTTATTTCTTGTCACATGCAATAGTTTTCCATCCTTTGACTTTCAGTCTATGAACTTCCTTTTGAGTTAAATGCGTTTCTTGTACATAGCATATTGTTGGATTTTGTTTCTTAATCCACTCTGCCACTCTGTTTCTTTTTATTGGTGAGTTGATATAACTAATATCTGACTTATCTTTGTCAGGTTATCTTTGTGTTGCTGGTTCTCTACTTTTTCTCTCTGTTTAAATGCTTCCCGTGCTTGGTGGTTTCCTTCTGCTATTGTTCTTGGAATTATGTAGTCATATTTATCTCTTTGTAGAGTATTTTTCAGTACTCTTTGTAGTATTGGTTTGATGATCATGAATTTCTTCAGTTGTTCTTTGTCGTGGAAGTATCTTATTTCTCCATTGACAGGCCCAGCCAGGTGCAAAACCCCGGCACCTGGCTGGGCCTGTCTTGGACTTTTTATTACATAAGATGGTGAGCAAAGCCCAATGTGTTTAGATCTGGATTTATCAAATTTTCTGTGAAGGAAAAGATAGTAAATATTTTAGGTTTTCAGGAAATGCAGTCTCTGTCACAATTACTCAGTTTGGCTGACATGGGATGAAATCAGCTGTAAACAATCCATCAACTAAGGAGCATGGCTGTGTGCCAATAAAACTTTATTCACAGACTCTAAAATCTGAATGTCAAATCATTTTCATGTGCCACAAAATACCATTCTTTCTTTGATGCTTTTGTAAAACAGTATTATAAGAACATAAAAAAATTATCCTTAGCTTGCAGGTCATACAAAAACATGCAGCAGATTCAGTTCCTGGGCTGTATTTTGGGCCCTGGTTTATGCTCTATTGACCTTCTGTTTCTGGCAGCCTGCAGCTATCTTCCCTGACACTATGGTGATGGCAATGTTCCTAATTGGGAAATTACTCCTAATGCTTCCTGCTTTTCTGTGTCTGTTTCAGAGGGTCTTGCTGTTGGAGTCGGCTTTGGAGCCATAGAAAAGACAATGTCAGCCACCTTCGAGAGTGCCAGGTAAGTCTGAGCCTGGTGCCCTGGTTTGGCCCCAAACCAGGAGCACCTGTGGGTGCTCCAGATATATTTGTCACCTGGGCCAGCTGCCTTACACGTAATTAGTAAGCTTCTTCAGCCCTATGGGGCTGAGGAGGGCATGAGAGCAGGGAGGCACTCAGTCAAACAAGCAGGTTTGTACTGACTTTGTCAAAGGCATTATCTAATAGGAAACTGTTTGGAAAACAAAATAACAGACATAATTGCATGCTGTAGTCCAAGCACATCCCTTGTATACAGAGTAGAGGCAAAAGTGTAATGGAGACAACAATGGACCCTGTTAATCTCTCTCTCTGTCTGTCTCTCTCTCTCTCTGTCTGTCTGTCTGTCTTTCAGGAAACCTTTCCTTCTCTTATCTCTAGGTACTGCTGGTTCCTTTTTTTTGAGACGAGATCTCACTATGCAGTTCAGGCTGGCCTAAAGCTCACTTTGTAGCCCAGGCTGGTCTTGAACTTGCAACGATACTCCCACCTTAGGCTCCTGAGTGCTGGGATTACAGGCATGAACCACCACACCCAGCTTGGTTCCCCCTTCTTAGACTTGCTCCCAGCAGGCCTCTTTTGTGTGCTTCTTTTGACCCACTCTCCAACACTGATGTGCCTAGACCACTTTCTTCTCATTCCCTGGGCAAGCTTCTCTAGTCCTGTGACTAACTGTCCATCTGTTTTCTGGTAATACTTATGTCTACCTGCAGCCTGGACTTAGCTCCTGAACTCACTCCCATGGGCCTGGCTCCTTCCCAGATGTCTGGGCACTGATGTTTCACAGGATCCCCACACACAGCATTCCCAGATTTGGGCTTCCTGTCTCCACCTATGGTCCTGGTGGGACCTACCCCTCCCTTAGGGCTCCTTGTTACCACTTTGCTGGCTGACCAAGCCAACTCAACTTTGAAACCTCACCTTTTAAAGACACTTATCTGGCCACTGAAGGTTTTCCTCTCACTGCTTCCCTTGAACTGAATACATCTTTCACAAGGTCATAGCCTTAGGATCGCAGGATATCCTTTAGATGTCACAGAGGTAAGTTCACCCAGGTCCACAAAACCCTGACTCCTTCCTGTACCATCCAAGCTGAGGGCCTGCAGCATGGAGCCTTCAGAGGCCCACAAACTCACCTGCTTTCAGCAAGCTAAGGGAAACAAGAAAGAGTAGAGATGACTGGGTCCAGACTGTTGGAAATGGCAAGGACCAGGTGAACTCTAGAGAACACAAGTACTAGCTGAAGGCCCCTGAGGTCACAATTACTTAAAAACATCCTAGTTAGCTGGCTCAGGAGCACCTAGCTAATTTCACCACCTTCAGACTGGAACCATCCCAGAGCCTGACCTCCCCCTGCCCAAAAGGAAGTGCAGCCACCTCCTGTGGTAATCAGTCCTGTGTGTGCTGGCTATAGTTGTTGGGAACTCACTTCTCATATGAACCCTCTTCTAGCCTTCCCTGGATTACACCCCACAAGGACTGTGTTTATGTCACCTCTGTGGCGCTCACTCTGTTAAATGTAGCCATTGCTGATTCAGGGAGACAGGTTGGTTTCATGCAGCCCCAAATGTGCACAGGTGTTGTAGTCAGGGGGTGTACACAGAGAACAATTCAGGTCAGGACATGGAGTTTATAATATGTTTATAATAGTCACTGAAAGTTAACACAGGAGAATGCAGGAAATCTATCCACAACACCAACGACATATATTATTTAAGTCAAGAGCCTAAACCCCATGGCAATGTCCCACATGAGTCCAGATAAAAATCCAGAGCTCAGGACAACGCCTCCACGAGTCCAACTGGAAGTCCGGAGCCACAAGAAGGACTCACGCCAGTCTCTTTTATGGATTTGTGCCGGGAAGACCCAAGGGTCAGCGGTGGAAGCCAGAAAGTCTATGCCAGCAGGATGAAGGAGCTGTGCTAGTGGGATGAGGGTTCTACGCTGGAGCTGAGAAGACACACTCACAACAAAGAGCGGGGCTGTCCTGAAAGGCACCACAGCTGTCCTCAGCGACACGGAGGCCCCGAGCTCCTCCTCCGACAAGCACAGTCGGGAACGAGCCAGGAAGCAGCGTTACGAGTTCACCCTGGAGACCAAGCAGCACATGTCTTCCCCTCTGGAGCCAGGAAGCAATGCTCGATGTGAAGACCAAATCTTCTCCAGGAGAACCAACAGCTCAGACAACAACTCGTAGGAGAACCCACAATGCCTCCTTAACGCCTCAATCCCTCTCCACGTCTCCCTTCTTCTCCACCTATTTATCCTGGCAACCCTCCTCAGGTGGAGCATCTTCTCTCAATGCATGCTGATGTAATCCAGCTGGCGTTAAGTTGACCACTAGTTATCAAACCATAACAACAGGGCACTGCCATGTTCTAGATCAAATGTTTCCTGCTTTCAGCTCCTCAGACTCCCCAGCCTTTTCCTTGGTCCTCATGTTCAGTACCACCATGAAAATGATACCTAGTATGAAATGAAAAGAGATGTCCTTTCAAATACAAGGAATATCACCAAAAGCATGGGACAATAATGACTCCCAACACCCTATAGACTGCTGTGCCAGTGTGGGTCTGGGTAGAGGGAGCTTGGCTCTCTGCCCCTTGGCATAGGCATTTTGATCTTGACATCATCAGACTACAAGAAACTTCGGTGTCAGGCCATAGCTCGGGGGATCAGAGGGTGGTTGATCTTATAAACAGTCAAAGGCCAGGTCTTCCCAGAGCACAGGGAAGTGTGCATGTTACACCAGTGACAGCAAGGCCCCAGGCATCACAGTCCCAGGCCAGGATCTGTCTGGTGGCACCATGTCCCTTGTGAAATCTCAAATGTCAACTTGGATATCCCTCGATTCTGTCACGTGCACTTTCTGCTAATCTGTATAAATACTTCTGAAGGAAGTGGAGCAGAAATATTTCCAGCCCAGCTATTCTCTCCCTTCCCTCAAACAAATAGATTCTCTGGGGGAGAATAGATCAACAAATAGATCCCTCTATGGGATCCTCCAGCCGGGGTGGGGTTGGACATCTGGCCTGTCACCATATTTCCAGTCACTTGAGACCCTCTGTTACACAGGCATCCATGGGGGGCTTCATAGGCCCCTCCTCTTCCATCTCTTGTGACAGCCAGGGTCACATTGAGGCCACTGTATGCAGAGCATTCGGGGATGGGGACCCTACAGTGAATGCTACAGGCAGAGAGTGAGGAAGCAGGACCTTCATTCAGCAGCCCCTAATCCTCCACCTCATTCCCCCAACTGGAAGCCCACATCAAGTCTGCAGCTTATCTTCTTCTCTTCCAAATATTTAGGGTCTTACTCTTGGGTGATATGTACAGAGCAGCCTCCAAGTAAAGCATATTAGCTGTCTTCTCCTTTAGCTCAAGTCTCAACCCAGGTTTCGTGAGGGGAGAGGGACCAGAGCAGGGTGGGAAGTGAGGCCTTCCCACACAGATGGCCAGGAGGGAGAGGACTTGATGGACCGGACAGGTAGAACTGCGGAGTGCTCAACCAAGAGGCGGTTGGCCCTGGTGTGGTACCTGCTTACATGGTGAGGTCTCATCATGCCAGGGCTATGAGCCAGGTACCCATGTGTGGGGTCCAGAGATGGGAGCCCTCAGGAGGCAGCAGGAGATGGGCTGCATGCTCAGAGGCAGGAGCTGGCCTTAGGTCTCCATCTACAACTCTAGCATGAGGCTTCTGCTCAATGACTGATGTGACATCCACTCCCACTTTCTTTTTTTCTTTTCTTTTCTTTTTTTTTTTTTGTCTTTTTCGTTTTTATCGGTACCAGGGATCAAACTCACGACTGCCTGCTTGCAAGGTAGGCGCTTATGCCGCTGAGCTAAATCCCCAGCCCCAACTCCCATTTCTTTCTGTCCCTCTTTGTGGGAGAGACGGAGATGGCAGCCAACCTGTAAGATAATGAAAGTACGAAAGCAGCCCTGATGGATGGGCTGCTAGTGAAATCCGGTGTCCTTGGGGTTGAACAGGGCAGCATGAGGTGGGGTCTCTGGGACCAAGAGCACCAAGCAGGGAGACCCTGCACCTGCTCCCTGCCTGCCTGGAATTTCCCAAACTCATTCAGAGGGGTGGATGAGGGTTCACTGGGCTGCAGATGGTTTGCCTTCTTCTGAGCTCTCTTGCCCTCCATTCATTCACTAGCAAGTCCATTTTTAGTGAGTACCACTATGTGTCCCAAACTCTGTGCTAGTCACTGCAGAGAGCATAGTTTGTGTGACATAACTCTTCCAGGAAACTTAAAATTTGCCACTAGTACTTCCAGAAGCATGGTGAACTCAGCTGGTATCCGTGACACACTGTAAATAAACTCAGGATCAACAATGGCTTTCAGCACACAGCCCGGGGTTAAGGAGAAAGAAATGCCAATGCTTGTGACGCAGTGAGGAATCAAAGGCAAAAAGGAAAATAGAGGTTGAAGGGGATGGGACATCTCTGACCACAGTTGTCAGGGAACTGAAACAGTCCTGGCATGAAGTCCAGGGCTTGGGGGTGCCACCTCTGTGAAGACGTCTGTAAATCTGTTTCTAGAACCTGCGTATAGAATTGGCCCTCTCTCCAGGATTTTGAATGGAGAGCTGGGGGACAGGCCAGTCATCTGTAAGATATCAGAACACTGGACCTGTCCCATACCACACAAATCTTTAAGGATACAAAATCATGTCCTCTATCTTATCCCAGAAACCCCTCAAAAAGAGATTAACATAATAAATGATGTATAGTAATAGAGATTTTCTAGGCTTTTGCCAAAGCCACTGTAAAGCCACTGATGAGGCACCCTATGGGCTAGAAAGCAAAGAACAGTTCTCTTCAGTATAGATAGGACTATACTAAAATAAAAAATCAAATAGGGACAAACCACATAAGAAGAAAAACAACCAATGAGGAAAGACAGCAATTACAAGACCAAAGATATAATAAGACTATACGAGAAAAATATCAGACAAAGCCAAATTGAGGAAAAA